GGCGAGAACTGGAGAACCTCCATCACCGACATGGAACTGGCCCTTCCTGACTTCTTCAAAGTCTTTTATGAATGTCTTGCGGCCTGTGAGGGTTCCAGGGAGATCACGGACTTCAAGGATTTTTATCTTTCCATAGCAGGTTGGTGGTGGGTAAGTGGGTAAGCTATCTTCCGTACACATCTGCTCTCTGTCTACATGCCTCCTGGCTGCCTTGAGTGGCCTCTGAGGAGCTTCTGAGCTTACATATTAGTGGGTAACGAGGGGTAGTCAACACCTACATAGGTAGGCCTTTGACTTGGCTTCTGGAAATAGCTGATAGGATGTTTAAGCACAGGCCACCAAGGAGGTCACTGTCCCCGCCCCGCTTGATTACAGATTCTCTGCAGGTTTTGAAAAAATAAAAATAGGCCTAAGAGCAGCTCAACTCAGTGGCTCACATGACTGAGATCACCTATTCTCCCAGAAGAGGGCCTATGCCTTTTTACTGTCTTTCCCGTTGTTTTCCTAAGGTTTGGGAGCACATTGCATATGCTCAGTGCCCTGGGATTATTACCTGGGAGTCAGCTAGTCAGTGGGGCCCTGCTGGGTGTGGCTGTGCTGCCCTTCTGCTCACTGAGTGGGGAGACCTCTCTCACTGCTCTGCTTCTTTCTTGCTGGTGCTGCCACCCTGACATTTACCATTTACCCAGTCTCCGGGAAAGGTTCCTTCTCTGCCTGCCCAGCAGGTTAAGGAAATTCACCTTCTCCACCTAAGGCCTTAAGCTTGGTGAAAATTCCAGGGGTAAGGAGTGGCCCTTAGATACCCCTATTCAGGAGCACTGAAAGGAGCTCCAAATGGACGGTCCCACGCTGGTGTCAGGGCTGTCCTGGCTACTCACATTAGCATCTGGGATCTCTACGTACTTCCTGGACACCAAGCTTCTTCCTTAGTGCTAGTTCTCTTTTATCTGGTCCATCAACAATTAGCAGAAAACCTTTGAGGTTTCTACTGTCACCCACCTTGGCCTCCCCAAGTGCTAGGATTGCAGCCTAAACAGACATTCTTGTTTTTACGCTGTAATCACTGCTCAGCTTCCACTGAGTAGCCTTTATCTTCCTTGTCTTTAGGCAAATAATCTCCCGAAAGCCATCGCAGCTGCTCATACCTTCCTGCTGAAGCATCCTGATGATGAGATGATGAAGAGAAACATGG